GATATAAAAAATGATATAAACACAAAAAATCAAATTGTGACCATTAATTGTTGTTTAAAAAAACGCAAGGTAAAAATACAAGTACTTTTTCATCTATTCGTCATCTAGTAACCCCCACCTGTGTCTTAAAAGCTTCAGATATCTGCGAAAAATTTTGCCGTGAAATCGATGATTTTTGCATAACCAGACTGGGCTAGATACTTTCAACAAGATCTAACCTTCTTATCAGCAGTGCATGTTCTTCTTAGAGTGCCGTCTTCCTACGGAGGTTGGTAATTATAATGGCTACTTTTATCTTCAACCATGAGTTCTGCCTTCGGCCAACCGATCTTCTTGCTTGAATCTTTCCCTGTATTATGAGTCTCAAAATTTCATATTTTGGTCCCCTCATCACGTGGCCAAGTATTCCAGTTTTCTGGTTTGTAAAGTGGTGATTAGTTATGTTTCTTTACCAACCCTCTCCAGTACTTCTTTAGTTGTAATTCTATCAGTCCATGATATTTTTAATACTCTGAGGTATAACCAGAGTTCGAAAGCATCGATTCTTTTTAAATTGCATTTTTTTAATGTCCAAGTGTCAGCTCCATATAATAATATTGAAAATATATAACAGCGAATGGTGCGTAGTCTGATCTTAAATTTAGATTTTTGCACGTTAGGAGTGGCTTCATTCGTATAAATGCTGATCTGGCAATCTCTATTCCCCTTTGTTTATTTCTACAGTATGATCATTGGTTTCATTGATCAAAGTTCCCAAGTACTGATATTTTTCTACTTGTTCTGTCACGTTACCATTGACTGTCAATAGGTGATGTATATTTTGTGGTCTTTTTGTAATTAGCATGTATAGCAAGATGTTGTATATCTTCTATACTAGTTGCTATGATCACAGTGTCGTCTGCATATCGTAAGTTGTTAATTAATTTTCCGTTAACGGCAACTCCCGCTTCGATATTATTGAGCGTGTTTTGGAAAATTTCTTCAGAATATAAATTAAACAAAAGTGGTGATAAAACACATCCCTGTCTAACTCCTCTACAGATCCTCATTTCTTCTGAGTATTGCCCATCAATTTGAACTATGGCACTTTGGTTCCAATATAATGTTTGCACTATATTTACGATTTTACTGTCAATGCGCTTGTTCATAAGTATTGATATTAGTTATGTATTAGTGCATATTAGAAATCATGAAAACGAATGGAGGTAAAAACTATAAAATACATTTTATAGGAAATAGATCGTTTATAAAGATTTGGTGTGCTTCCAATTCCTATAAACTTCAATTTTGAGCTCCATTAAAACGTAAAAGACCTCAATTATGTTTAAATGACTTATAAAAGTGCAAAAGGCATGTCTAAATGGCGGAATACTATTAAATGAACATTTTTCGTTTAATATATCTACTCAACTAATCGGATACACGGTATAAAAATGGCGTAATATGCATTTTTAACCGCCAAGTGTGAGACAATTTCAATATTTAGCCCACGTTTTATGTCTTTAGATTATTTTCGAATCCTATTTTTACTAAAATCACATAGTTAGAGAGGTGTATGTCTAAAAATAACATAACAGAACAGTGAATCAAACATATAACGTATTTATGTGCTGTTAAATCTATCGACAAGCAAAGAAAATTTTATATAAACAGATGAATGGAACCAGAAAATTTTATATAAATGAAAAGATGAATGAAATCGATATTGGTATATTAAACCAGGGTGGATCTGTGAAAAAGCAAGTACATTTGGATGCGAGAAGTGGCGTTCGAATTTTTGCAGAAAAAGTTGTGTGATTAATTCAGTAATAATAATTGACTTATCATTCACATAGTGAGTACCTGGCACTCTAAGGCCAAAAAGATACATTTTCTGATATTAAAACGTTAATTTTACTCAGATTTTTTTGTTCTCTTAAGCAAAATGTATGATTAAGTTTATTATTAATTGTACATGTGAAAGCAGATTTGATTTATATATAATATAAATCATACTGATATTTCTCCACAATATCAGTATGATCCTACCATATTGCATCCTCTTTATTCGGCCATTTTCACGAATTAAAGTTGCTGTTTACCATAACACTAACACACGCTTTATTTTCTTTTACTTCTTTTATTTTTCCTGGGTAGTGTTCATCATCAATCAGCCAATTGCGTCCACTGCTGGACATAGGCCTCCCTCAGTTCTTTCCAATGTTCTCTACACTGGGTCGCTTGTAGAAAGTTTCCCGCTACACGTTTTATATCATCGGTCCTTCTAGTCGGTGGTCGTCCTCGGCTTCTTTTATAGTTTCTGGGCCTCCATTCCATAATACATCTTGTCCACCGTCCATCTTGTGTTCTGGCTAAGTGCCCTGCCCAGTTCCTCTTAAGCGTCGTGGTTCTTTCGATGACGTCTTGAACTCCTGATCTTTGCCTGATTTGTTGGTTTGTTATGTGGTCTCGAAGGCTCACGTTCAGCATTGCACGTTCCATGGCTCGTTGTGTAACTCTGAGTTTACTCGCAGATTTTTGCGTGAGTGTTAAAGTCTCTGCTCCATAAGTTTGTACAGGTAAAACACATTGGTTATAAATCTTTCGCTTGAGACACATGGGAATTGAACTTTTTAGAATATGGCTTAATTTGCCAAATGCTGCCCATGTTAGGCCTATTCGCCTCTGTATTTCATGTGTTTGATTGTCTCTGCTTATTTTGATTTCGTGTCCCAGATATTGGTAAGTGTCTATTTGTTGTATGGTATTATTGTCAATAGTTATATTTCCACTCATTACGAGATTTTTTAATATTGTTCTGAAGCTATTTTCTTGTGGCATTGTAAATTAATTACTATTTATAACTGGGAATAAGCCACAATTAAAGATAAAAATACGTTTATTGACGTTTCAATTTCCAATTCGGAAATCGTTCTCAAAATACAAACAGTAAATTAAACAAATTTTGTTTTTTGTTACATAGTGAAAAAATTCTTCTAATAATTTAATTTTATCTGACTCATTTATATTGACAATTCAGACATACATTATGCATTTTAAAGTAGACGACTTTAAAATGATATTGCCAATATTGTTGAGTTGCGCTCCTGGGACGACTTTACTTATAAGATAGTTCATTCGATTACATGAAATCAACTTTAACTTGAGAATATCCGTCAGAAAAAATCATAGCATGTAATTCGTCTTTAAAAAGACAAACACATGACATGATGACAGTAAAATTCTCCTGTTAGTGATTCCATAGTAAATTATGAGGGAAAAACCAGGAAAAAAACCTCATAATACTATCCCGACATTGTAAGTATTTGTTCGTGAATTTAGTTTACCTTCAACAAACATCAAAATTCTGATTTTATATGTTACGTTATTTAAAAAACATAAATGATGTATCCTCTGTATGTTACTGACTTACTAATACTGGTATTTTCAATGGGCTCTAGTTTATCTCCATTCTTAGCCGATATATTTATGGAAGATTTTGAAACAAATATCATTTCTAAACAAAATTTCAAACCCACAGTATGGTGGAGGTATGTAGATGATGTATTCTCAATATGGCCTCATGGATCAGAGTTGTTGGACACATAGAAGTTATTAATAAGAAAATACCAGTATTAGTAAGTCAGTAACATACAGAGGATACATCATTTATGTTTTTTTAAATAACGTAACATATAAAATCAGAATTTTGATGTTTGTTGAAGGTAAACTAAACTTCACGAACAAATACTTACAATGTCGGGATAGTATTATGAGGTTTTTTTCCTGGTTTTTCCCTCATAATTTACTATGGAATCACTAACAGGAGAATTTTACTGTCATCATGTCATGTGTTTGTCTTTTTAAAGACGAATTACATGCTATGATTTTTTCTGACGGATATTCTCAAGTTAAAGTTGATTTCATGTAATCGAATGAACTATCTTATAAGTAAAGTCGTCCCAGGAGCGCAACTCAACAATATTGGCAATATCATTTTAAAGTCGTCTACTTTAAAATGCATAATGTATGTCTGAATTGTCAATATAAATGAGTCAGATAAAATTAAATTATTAGAAGAATTTTTTCACTATGTAACAAAAAACAAAATTTGTTTAATTTACTGTTTGTATTTTGAGAACGATTTCCGAATTGGAAATTGAAACGTCAATAAACGTATTTTTATCTTTAATTGTGGCTTATTCCCAGTTATAAATAGTAATTAATTACGAGATTTGTTATAAGTTTCGTTTTCTCAAAGTTTATTTTTAATCCTGCTCTTTCAGACAGACTTTTAAGCGAATGCATCATAGAAACTGTATCATGTAAGTTATCTGCGATTAATACATCATCTGCAAACCTTGAGTGATTTAATCTTTCTCCATCTATATTGATACCCATATCTTGCCATTGAGTGCTCTTAAATATTGACTCTAGAGTTGCCGTGAACAATTTTGGTGAAATATTGTCTCCTTGTCTAACTCCTCGACCTAAGCTGAATTTTTCTGTGTCTTCGTGTAGTCGTATACTTGATGTAGCGTTCTCGTAGATGTTTTTGATTAGTATATGTACCTGTAATCTATTCGGCTTTGGGGTAGTGTTGATCTTCATAAATAACAATAACATGGTCACCTTCTTTTAAATGAGATTTGTTGAATGTTGGAACAATAGCTGGAATGTCATCACCACTATCAGATTCCAAATTTAATTGCTCGGCAGATAGAGATGTTCCAGAATCTGAATTTTTCTTGAAATTTCGTTTTGTTTTTTTTTTTCAGAATCTTCTTTTCATCAGAATTTCTTGAAATTTCGTTTTGTTTTTTTTTTTCTTCGAATCTTCTTTTCATCAGAATCTGAATTTTCCTTGTAATTCCGCTTTGTTTTTTTCTTGCAGAATCTTCTTTTAGTCTCGTTTTCGTTTTTGCTCTTGCTTTTCCTGTTCTTTGAATTCTTTTTCCATTTTTTTCTTTAAATGGTATTGTTTCCACTGAGTGGAAGTTCCAACAGAAGGCAATTTTCACCGACTCTTTTTTTCGTTTCTTTAAAACATGGTTTGTCTGGCCAAAACAATGCCTTCTTAAATGGAGTAGGAATTTTTCCATCAATTGGTATATATTTTTCAGGCGATTTTTCAAGGAGACTCTGTTGTAAGTTTTCTAAAGTAGTTGTATCGTTAACATTAAAATCGAGTTCAACAACTGCAACATCGCCACCTGGTGGATTATTATCCGTATCAAAATGTGGTTGTGGATCTTTATCTGTATTGCATTTATCCATGCTGTTCTCCTTGTTATCTGAACGGTCTTCTTCTGTTGTTGAGATTTCAGGGTCATTTAATTTGGGAACGATAAATGTGTTGAGTTGTTTTTCATTTTTGATCTTCAGCCAAACTTGAAAAAGACTTAAATGTTGTATATTTCCGTTCCACGTATCCGAGTCTGCTGCATTAAATTCTTGTAACAAGCCAGGGTCAATGTAGGTCTCTAACATTTGTTGAAATGTTTTTTCTTGAAGAGTTTCTTCTACGGAGAACGGATTATTGTGAATTTCTGTATTATGATTGACTTGAAATATTTTAGTTTAGGTAGTTGATTGCATCGTTTCCATTCATTTCTTGCTGCGTTTGCGTTGAGTGGGCACAAACCAGCAGCACGAAAACCATTCAATATAATTTTCGGAATAATGGAATTCTCTATGGCTTTTGCTAGAACTGTTTCAAAATTCTCCTTCTTCATTTTTGAACATTTGTTTTGTATTCTCCAATTGTTTACTTCATTTCTCCAGCAAGTTTTTAGGGGTCTAAAAACTGCTACATCCATCGACTGCGTAATATGTGTCGAATTAGGATGCAATGCAATAAGAATAATTTTTCTTTCATTACAGAAATCACTAAGAGAAAAAGTCAAGTGACTAGTATGTCCATCAACGAAAAATATAATTGGAAACTTAATTTCATTTTCCACAGCCCAAGGATAAAAAACGTTTGTTATATACTCATAGAAAGTTTCCGCTGTCATCCATCCACTTTCACTTTTACCAATTGCAAAACATTTTGGCATATAAACAGATATGGTCGGTGGAATCCTTTCATAAGCAAACATCACCATGCCTGGGGCAATGTTTCCTGCGTTGCTTGATAAGAACAGTAAGGCACTCTTTCTCGTCATTTGGTAGATGACGAGATGATATTGGTACAACATAAAATTATAAAATTTTGGTTGCATTTACAGGGTTATTTACGTGTTTTCTACTTAAATATTCATTCAAAGTATAAAAACATTTGAAACCCGATAGCTGACACTAGTGTCACTTACTGTGACACTGAAAAAATCAGCAACTTACTCCTATTCCCAGTGTCATCACAGTCAGCGGTAGTTACATTGTTGATGTAAAAGACTCTTATAGAATTAAATATTGCCTGAAATAACCAGTTTGACACGTTTTTTCAAATTTTTTGGATTTTAGTATCTATTGCCATATTCCAGTGAATGACTGCTGGACATTTTTCTGTTTTTACATACTCTATAAAAGGTTACATTGTTGCACATTCTAGTCATAGACTCTCCATTTTGAATGGGTTTTCCGGTTTTAGTCTAGTCTTCAGAGATTTGGTCTCGAAAAACGCAACGAACAAGCTGAATTTTTCTAAGAATCTCAATATTGGAACTCCAAAAAATATGCAAAAAATTTGCCACTTCTACCCCCGGGATTTCTATGTTATCACTTTTCCCACGTTTAAACCGCTTAACAAAAACGAACTAATACTCTCGCTATAATATATTTATACCGTTTTTTACAGTTTATTGATTTACATTAAGTTCAAACATTTTATTGGCTTTTGCGTGTATAAATATGTCAAAAGTTAACTTTTGATTCGCTTGAATAGAGAATATCTTTATTCACAAGAATACAAATACTAATTAATATATGTACTCGTGAACTCTACAAACAATTTTTAACACTGCCAACAAAATTCACCAGCGAAAGTGAAACACAAATTAATAATGACTGTAAATAAATAATATATTGACGGTGTAAACAGTTTCTCAGAAGATCTAGTTTTGACCGACTGTCGATGCTTGCATTCAGCGATCATGCGACCTTGGATTCCATGTTTTAAGCGGCCAGGGTATAGTAATACTTGTTCTGTATAATGAACTGTTCTCTTAGAAACCATGCTTGAAGCGACCGGTGATTTTGAATGTGTTACGACAAATCTCTGACGACTGAACTATAAGACCTTTTGCTTTGTTTTGTTCACGCAATGGTTCTCGTTTTCCTTCAAGGTTCAAGCCTTCTAGTTTTCTTATACTGTGTTATTTAGTGTAAGTATCTCTTTCGTACCGTGATATGAGTTTTTAAAACGGTATAAAAATCTGGTGACAAATAATCAACAGTTTATTTATACAAGGTTTATATGTTAAATAAAGAAATAATGTTTTTTCTCTTTTGTTCTGCAGAATAAAAACGAGAAGTGGAAACCTATGAATATTTCCAACCCTTCTACTCGTCTAAGAATGGCAAGGAATATGCCACAGTGGATGGTAAGTTATTTTCTAGATTTTTTTGTGACATATCTTTAGAATGTAAATATTACTCACTCAATTTTACTTTTCTGTACTATCTGTCTTGATACAGTCATAGCGGTTGACTATTTGCAGTATAGATTCTGATGTTTTGATCACCAACTTAGAAGAAAATAATAGGGAAAATAAAACACAGATTTTTCTTGACGTAAAAAACGTTTTTATTACTTACTTAAAAGTGCAAATTGTCAATTTTGGGCTTGTCAGTCATGAACTAAGCACTTAAGTCGTAAGTAGAAAAGCAATGTATATTTACAGTTGAAAAAAATACAGTCAGGGTAGAAATATATATAAAAACAATGTTCTTAATAAACTTAGTCTACGGTTATACAATATAATATAAAAAAAATCTTAATTTAGATCTTAAAAAGTAATGTAGAACTGAAGACAAATGCAAAAATTATTTTTTTTATCATTGTGTGTAAAAATGTCGGTTAAAACACGAAATTAAAAGAGTTTAAGAAACGTAGAATGAACTCCTTCGTTGTACCATTTGTACAAAGGATTTTCCACACAATATTTACAGTCTTAAGTAAACTAAAATTTCAAAAAAAAAGTTCACTTTATTTACAGTCATATATGCTAATAAACAGACATACCAGAGAGATGCGGTTATTAGTAAGTTTCTTGTAATGACATAATCTCTCTTGAATGACTCTTAAAGTCAGCAATATTTCTCCATCCAATTTTTACTTGTCATGCGACATGTACGAGGGAATTTACTTTATTTTCAGCAGATCATCGTCAGTAAGACAGGCAACTAAAAATACACTAGAAAGATGTGAGTATTTGTAAAGTTCCTTCTGTTCTAAGGGCATCAATGTTAACTTTAATTCTCATATTCAATAAGGTTTTCCTTGATGAAGTTTTAACACTCCAGACTTTCCTTCGTGAGTTTTATCAGAGACAAACAAGACATGATTTCAAGAAGGATCTGTCGGATTCTTAACAATATGTTCAAAGATTGAACCTAAATGATTAATTATATCCTAAAGAGATGAGGATACCTCTCGAATGAGTTCTAATGCCAGAGTAATATTTTTCAACACAAATTTTAGCTGGTGAAGCAATAGACGCGCCTCTCCAAAGAAATATGTCACTAAACAGACACATAAAAGAGGTGTGACTATTGAATTGGTTTCTTGTGATGACAAAGGAATTTTACCTCCTTGAATCATCGGCATACGAAACGAAATATATAGTCGACATATTGTTTTTTGAGCTCTTGTTACTAAACAGACATGTATCTCTGTCTAGCGCTTTTTGTTCATAATAACAGATAATAAATCACTGACATACGAAGCAAGATATACAACTGATTACAAGTTTTGTGTCCTAATACGACGGCGGTCCCATAAGTACTTAGTCTCACAGTCCATGTCACCAGAGAAATTCATTATCGTGTAGAGCAATCTCGTAGGTCGTTGATTCGATTCTTGTTTTTGGAAGTCAAATCGAGCAGCGAAATCAAAAAGCGCTTGGATGCTGTGTACGGCGAGTCTTCTCCTTCGATGGCGACCGTCAAAATTTGGTTGAACGAGATTCAACGTGGTTGTCTGTTTTTGGTAAGCCACGAGCAAGTGCACTAAAAACCGCTACCACGAAGGATAACGTGATAAAATCCATAATCTCATATTAACAGACCGCCGATTGAAGGTCCGTCAGATAGTGAAGACAGTATGTATGTCAAACGACCGCGTGGGTTATTCCCTGCATGAAATTTTGGTTGCCGCGTTTGCTCACTCCGGACAACAAACTCAATCGTGGGACCACTACAGAGCAGTATTTCACGCTGTTTTAAGTGCAATCCGAAAGAGTTTCTGCGTGGTTTCGTGACCTTCGACGAAACATGGATCCAGTGGTGCACATCAGCGACCAAGGAACATTAGAAACAGTGGACTTCACCCGGAGAACGTGCTCTGAAGAAGACGAAAGCTATCCTATCAGCTGGAAAAATGATGGCCACCGTTTTCTAGAATTCATTTGTGATCAACGTGTGATCTACATCGACTACCTGGAGAAGGACAAAACACAGTCACAACGAGACATAAAAACAACCTCATTTTGCGAAGAAAAAATTGCTCTTCCACCATGAATATGCACCGGCTTGCACCTTCGCCGTTGACACAGCGAAATTCGTCGAATTGGGCTAAAAACTGGTGCCCCATCCAATGTATTCTACAGATATGGCCCCGTGTAACTTTTTTTGTTTCCAAACTTGAAAAAGTCACTCGCCGGGCAGAAATTTGGGTCGAATGAGGAAGTAATGATGGTCACAGATGGTCCTTTGCATACCTCAAAAAAATGAATTGTTCAGACAGGTTAAAGAAGTTGGAGGGATTTTTATTTTGTAGAGACTTGATATGATGAATGCTTTTGGTATTAGACAAATGTTTTCCAATACAAAAGTTGGAATATGAACAAAATATACAATGATTCTTTAACGAATGTGTTTGGATACTCTGATCTCTCCATGTGTTGGGAATAATTCGGCATATAATCATTAGCGTACAAAATAAATTTATACTTAAATTAGCTTTAAAATAAGTCATTTTTGAAATTGTCTCCTGTTCCATTACATGTTTCGACATCAACGAGAAATAAGTAAAATTTTGGACAATGTATAGATTCATCGTTATGTTTAGCAATTGTTCCGAAGTCGATTCCAGATCAACTTTTCAGTTATTGTCAAACACCGTGTCCAAAAATTAGTATTGCTTGATTTAACAATATCATTCACGCTACAATTGCCACTATTAAATAATTCTCGATTTAAAAAATAACATACACTTTGATTTTCGAGTTTAAAATGGCATTTGACGCAATTCCATACTAAAAATAGTGTATGTTTTCATACAGAATTCAATTTTGAGGCACTTTTAAAAGACAATAGTTCTAAATTAGCTGAATTGGTATCATTAATTGCCGTGTCGAGAAATTTTAACTGCGAATGAAAAAAAAAAAAAAATAGTTCCATTTTAATTTTAAGGATTTAAAAAAAAAATTAATGAGAGGAAAGAACTTATCCGAACAATTGAATATTATTTATACAAAAAAATAACATTCTGAGAAACACAAAATCAGAATTTTGGTCATACTGTATTCGATTATCACCTCAAAATGTACCAAAAGGTATATTGACATGCGAAAACAACAAATCTCTTGTAGTCACACAGTTTTCATACAAAAATAGACTCTGAAAGATTAAAATTCCAAAAATACAATGTTGCCACATTTGATATTTTATATGAGATTCCATTATTTCGATGATTTTTTAGATTTTGTCTCAAATGTTATTTTTCTGTACTCTAAGTCTACTAACAATTATTGCTTGCATCTGTAATATCGTATTTTACACCAAAAATTCTAAAAATACTGTATTGTGACCTTACAAAATATAAGAAATTGTAGATATTTAAGATTTAATACAGCGTTCTGAACAAAAAATTCGATTAAAATAGATTTAAAAGGAAATACATAAAATAATATGTAATACGATAAAAAAAATTCGAATCATTGTGAAATTATTGAAAGTTAATATTGTTTTATAAAAAAGATCAATATTTAAAGGGTTGGTAACAGTTTAGATATCCAAAAACGAATGTACTTTAAGGAACAATTAAAAATATAGTATTTAAGGGGACCAGGTACCCCTGAAAAAACTTTTTTTCGTTTTTTTTATTCTTTCTTATTTTTCTAAACAGTTTTCTAAATCGAATGGTATATTACAGTATTGTGCGAATTAATGTGAACAAACAGAATTAATTTGTAAATATGATTTATTTAGGCCAAAGGTAAATTTAGGTACACTTACATGAGATTTTTTCATTAATTAGTATTTAATATATCCCCCTTTTACTTTTATGACTTCCTGGAGTCTTCTAGGCATTGGAATCCACAAGTTTTTTGCAATTGTTTGTAATTGCTTCATCTCTAAACCACACCTTAATCACTGCTTCCACCATTTTTGTTTTTGTCGTACAGTCAAATTTTTGCAGTTTAGCCTTACATATTGCCCACAAATTTTCAATAGGATTAAGGTCAGGTGAATTTCCAGGCCAATCAAGAAGGGTAATATTATTATCCTTGAAGTATTTCATCATAACCTTCGATACATGGCACGGAGCTGAATCTTGTTGAAAAATTGCAGTCCCTTCGGCCTGTACTTTGTCAAGCTCTATAGCTAAGCGTTGCCCTAGCATGGCTTTGTACTTTTCACTGTTCATCATACCTTCAATAGGAATAAGAGTGCCAGTTCCTGAGTATGAAAAACAGCCCCAGAACATTTTTTTGGTGGGATGTGTAACTGTTTGGATAAGTGACTCATTGGCTGCCTTTCGTACGAATTTTGATCGCTAGCCCTGCACTAGGAAAAGTGGTTCTCATCAGAAAATAAAACTCCAATGAGTGTATTTTTTTGCCCAATTTAGTCTTTTTTTCAGAAGTTGTTTCTTTTGCGGTCTCACGGCTCTTCTCCCTCCTTCTAAGAGACGTCTGCGTACCGTTGAGTCGTGAATTTTTATTCCAGCCTTTTCTAAATCTTGCTGGAGGTCATAACTTGTTTTTCTGGGATGAAGTTTGCTATCGCGCAAAAGAAAGGCTTCATCTCGAGGAGTGGTCCTCCGTTTTCTTCCACATTTTCCTTTCCGGTGCACTTTAACTGGCCCTGCTTCCTTTTTTTGTTTAATTATTTTGTTTACTGTACCCAAACTTACACACCACTCCTTTGCAATGTCCCTCTGAATCATTGGTGTATGCTCACTAAGTGTTATGATCCTTTCTCTTTTCCTAGGAGTGATATCCATATTAAAAAGTTAAACCTGATTGCACAGTTAAAATTAACATCAACTTGCACATAACCTGAGATACAACAAAATATAATAATGATATAAAACACAAAGCACGTGTTTTGAACAATATACTAATAAGGTTTTGAGGTTATGTTGTTTTTTTGACAA